AGCAGTGGTTTCATGTGTCAATATTATGACCCTGGGCATCTGCCTGGCTCAGGGCTGGGCAAGGGGTACAGCTCCAGGTCAGAGGGTGAGGTATCATTCTGTTATGTTAGGTGTTACATATGAAATCTTGAACTGTACATGTAATCTCTAGTGGAGAAATCAAGGCTCTAATGATTTTGTTTTTAGTGTAGAAAAACGTGATTTCCTTTCTATTTGTAACTCATAATAGAGACATTTTGGTGACAGGAGAGGGGGATAGTCTTACTGCTAACAAGGGAAACACCAAAGATCAATGTCATTAAAATGATGGCCACCCATAAAAAAAAAATGCTGCAGCAGTCAAGAAGGATGGGGTTTGCCAAGGAGTAGATTTGACAATTAAGAAATCATTGTTAACTATGGAGAGACCAGTTTCAGTTGAGTGATGAGGATAGAAGTCAGATTGAATAGGGTTGAGGAATGAGTGAGAGGCAGCAAGTATAGATAACTCTTTCAAGGAATTTGACTGAGAGGAGAAGACATATAGGATAACAGGTAACAGGAATAGTGCAATCTAGAGAGAGGGTTTGTTTGTTTTTTTAAGAATGGGGGAGATGAGCATGTTTTCAGGCATCAGGGAAAGAAAGGTAATGCTTTGAGTTACACAAAACACTTTCCTCACAACAATGCTGTGTGGCATATGCTACTGTTGTTATCTCCCTTTTTACAGATGAAGTTAATTAATGTTCACACAGCCAGTAAGACTTGGGAGTTAGGATTCAAACCTATGTCTCTTAATTCCTAAGTCCAGTGGGATCTTTATAGGTATCATATTGTGCTTCATTACTTTGAACAGATTTTTTGAAATACCTAGACAAATAAATGGATAATAAATCATATGTAATTTTTTGTGTGGGGATGATGGGTTTCTTTTGGTGGCATGTTGAGTTTGAGATGCCTATAGGACATCCAGGTAGAGGTGCTCAGTGTGCAACTGGCAACTTGGGACAGAGTCTGGGGCTAGATATATATGAAGATCTGGAAGTCATCTGCAAAGAGATGATAACAAAACTTGTAGCAGCTGACAAGGTTAACTAGGTATGTTTTGTAGGGTACCTTCCTGATCCTTTGAGGTTATTATAAAATTTTCCCTCCATTCTTCCCCAAAATGCCTTTGTGCCATTGTTGAAAATGAGATAGAACACTGTACAAGATGCATTGTTCACTTGGAGCACTATGCCATTTATTTTGTTCTTAGACATTTCAAAACTTTACCCCAAATTGCATATTTTTCTCTCCAACCTAGTCTCCAAGTGGATGGTAAAATGAGAAGTGAAGGGTTTAAGAGATCTAGTTTGTATATAACTTTGTGCAACACATTTTTAACCTTTCCATCCTGTAACCCTTTCATACTACATTTTTTTTTTAGGTAAAAGAAAATTCAACCATACTTACAGGTCAAGGAAAATTTAACAACTGAATTGTGCTTTTGTTTCATTGATCACACTAAGCTCCAATAAAAGTTTAAATTCCCATAGCTCTATCATCCTTCTTCAAATACTAATAGTTCTTAAAGGCTGCATAGTGATTGCAAAATGAAAATAAAGTCAAATTTTTCATCCATGTAATGTTCATTTCTGACACCGCTTAACTCCTGTTCTGAAAGCTATAGCAATGTTGGTCTCATTAAAAATATCTCCTTATTCCTTCAACATACTCCCTTCCCTCAAATAAGGGAAAAACCTGATTGACCTGAGGATATTTGGTGGCACAGTTCCTCTTTTTTTTTCAGAATTGGAAGGAAGCACAAATCAAAGAGAGGGATCATTGACTTGAGCAAGTGAGTTGAACTTAATTTATAAAATGGGCAAGGATGAGGGGTGGGAGGAGCAAAGTTGTAAAAACCTTAAAGAAAGCTTCTCATTTTCTAACAATAGCTGACATTTACAAAGCTGTCAAAGTCCTCAGGAACCCAAGGTCATCTCCATACCATGGTACAGGAAAAGGACTTCCCTGTTACCCCTCCCAACCCCCAACCCTTTCCGGAGGTGGGGTGGAGAAGGTCATAATGCTGAAGGGCGAAGAGTAAGCTTAGTAACAACAATAATAATCTGGCACTTACATAAGTCATTAAGGATTGCAAACACTTTATATATGTCATATCATTTGATCTTTAAAGCAACTCTGGGAAGCAGATGCTACTATTCTCCTTTTCCAGATGAGGAAACAGGTTAAGTGACTTGCCTAGGGTCCCACAGCTAATGAGCATCTGAGGCAGGATTTGAACTCAGATCTTCCTGACTCCAAGTCCTGTGGTCTCTATATGTACTAGGACACCTAGCTGCTTCCAGTTTTTATGCACCATTAGCTTAACTCTTGGTACTCTAAATGTGAGTTCCTTGTCCAGTGATGCACAAACGGACATGCTACTTACTAGAGGAAGTGCATTATACCAATTTTGACATTTATATACCACTTTTACATACACATTACCTTGTTTATATATTATCTTATTTGATCCTTAAAACAACTTGGTGAGGTAAGTGTTACGGGTATTATTATTGCCATTTTACTGATTTAAAAAGTGTCACAGAGGTCATCAAGTGACTTGGTCATAGTCACATAATGAATTTTAGAGACCAGGATTTGAAACCTAGTTTCTCCAGACTCCAAATCCAGCACTTGTTTTAGAATATCAAATTGACCCCTTATTATGCACTTTATGTGTCTGGAACAGAAAAGATGGGGGAGGAGGTGTTTCTTTTGTTAGGTAATTAACAAATAGGCTACTCATTAATTAGTTGAATTGACAAATAGAAGTGAACCCTAAGCAGAGGGGTGTGTGTGTGTGTGTGTGTGTGTGTGTGTGTGTGTTCCCTCTGGTGGATGTTTTGTTTTTTTCAGGAAGCCAGAACCACAATTGGAGAGGTAGTATGCCAGAGAAGTAGTTTTGTACTCCAGAAGATTTGGGTCCTGTCTAGAGCTGTCTGCCTCTGCCAGGTACTAATTGTGTGATCCTGAGCAAACAGTTTAACCTCCCAGTTCCCCCTTTAGTAATCTACATTCAGAGGGAGTTTTCTCACTAGGAGTTCTCAATTTTCAAGAAATCATAGGTCCACACCAGAAAAACAAAAACAAACATTCATAGTTAAAGACAGTTTTATATAGAAAGCTGGCCTCTAAAAAGATACTTTGACATCAGGTAACAGAAAAGAAACAATTTTATATAGTATAGTACAAGAGGACATGGTCAGGACTTAGGCTCAAGAGCGCTGGGATTCAAATCCACTTTTTGATACTTATTGTGTGACTTGGCTAAGTTAATTCACTTCTCTGAGGTTGTTTCCTCATCTTTCCTAGCATCTGTAACAGCTACCTGAGGGGTTGTTGTGAGGAAAGTACTTTGCAAAATTAAAATACAAGAGTGAATTTCCATTATCTTTATGAGGTGCTTATGCCTGGGTTGATGATAAGTGGTTTGAAAAGTGGTAGATTGTAGTTTTCCAGGTACAGCAAGGCGCAAAGATTCTAAGAGAGATTAAAAATAATTTTAAAAAATTAAGGCAATTTTGTTCCTAAATTGCATCACAGATTTTGAGCTGGTTCAAGTCTCTGGATTTACATTTGAGGAAACAGGACCAGGAGGGTTAACTGACTTGCTCAAAGTCACATAGGAACTAAGTATAGAGCCAACATTAGAACTCAGGTCTTATACTTCCAAATTCAGCACTTTTCCCTCTGTACCACTCTAAGAAAGTTACATATATTATCAACAGAGTAGTTCCACCATTATGGGAAACTCACAATCTGAAGTCTTGAGGGGAGGGGTTTTTTTCCCTCTGTATAACAGTTTTTTAATTTTCTTTCAAAAATAAAATTTTATTTGATAGTTTTTTTTGCATTGCCTAAATTTCCTTCTGTTCTTTTCTTTATTAAATAACAACAACACAACCACAAACAAAAAACATTCACTTGCTTGGAAGATGACATTTATATACAAATATTGCAACCAATTTTTTCAGGACTGTCCTTTTATCTCCCTGCAAACAAAATGTACCACTTTCTCTTGTGCTAGATGCCAGTCTAAGGAGTGTATTCAAACACAAAGCTAAGGATAAGGTGTCCAGGGGTGTAGATCAGCGTAAGGAGATTTATCTAATTCATGTCTCCGGGCTGCTTACTATCTCCTCCGCCAGTAATAACTGTCTATTGTGTAGCAGGCTTCAGTGTGCTCTCTACTTCGGCACCAGCACCAAGATTTTCTCATTTGGGGATTCAGGATTATCTCCACCAAAAACCTACATCCCTTTTCCTCCGTCCCATTGCGGGTTAGCTAGCTGGAAAAAATAAGCCCCGATCCCTGCCTTAGCCTGTCTTCCCGCTTCCTCTCCTCTCCTTGCTCAGTGTTCCAATGAGCCCAGAGAAATCCAACCCTCGCATCCAAGCCTCTAGCCCCTGAAAGGTAACCGGGCATGCTCACTGAGTCTTTTCCAAGGAGAAAGTGCCTCGTTGTAGTGGTGTCCAGAGGCCGGGAGGTGCCGCTGCGCCCCTGCTTCCTTCCATTGGCCTGACCCAGCGGAGAAAGTTGGGCTCCGGGAAAGGCAAGGGAAAGGAGGGACGGAGCCAGCGAGCGTAGAGGGGAAGGGAGGGGGGAGAAGAAGGAGAGTGGTGTGGGAGGGGGACGCCGGGAGCGTGTGTCACTCGCTCACTCCACTCCCTCTGTGTATATAGGATGTGCTGAATGGTGCTCTTCAGATCCGCGGCGGTCGCGGAGGAGGCAGCGGAGGAGGAGCAGGAGCCCGAGCCCCAGTCGAGCCCCAGCAGGCGGCAGCGGCAGCTGCGGTTACAGCTGGCTCCCCAGCGCCCGGTCCCTCCTGGTCCGTTGGCCAAGCCCCAGTGCCCGGTTCGTTCCTCGCTCCTCCGTGCCTGCTCGCCCTTGTCTTCTCGGCGTCTGCTGCTGCTCCCCGACGGGCGCCTGACACCACTTTCCACGGAGGGCATGGACCCACGCTTCTCCGCCTGCTCCGCACTCCAGCGCTGAGCCACCTTCCCCTCGGTGAAGGGAAAGGAGGAGAAGGAGAGGAGGGGTGGGGGAAAAGCCAAAAGAACCCCCCCTTTCCCAAACCAATCCAAACCCCAATCCCACCCCTCCCTTTCTCACCCCACTTCTCTCCCCTTCTCGGATCGTCTTTTCTCCTCTGCTGGGAAGCCTCCATGTGTGTAAATGGCCGGGGCACAGCCAGGAGTTCACGCTTTGCAACTCAAACCTGTCAGTGTCTCCGACAACCTGAAGAAAGGCATCAAATTTGTCAAATGGGATGATGTAAGTAGCCTCTTTAGTCTGTTTGTTGAGTTCTCGGCTGTTGCCCTCTCTTGGCGGGGGAGGGGGTTGTGGGGGTGGGGAAGGTGGGAAGAAACACACTCGTTATGCAATGGGCAGAGTGAATCGATAAGGGTGCCAGAAAGTACACATGTTGGAAACTGCACAGGCAGTAAAAGGGCAGAAATTACTCCAGGCAGAGAGTGTGTGTGTATTTGTCTGTGTGTCAGTGTTCAGTATTTTACGTCCTTAAGAGCAGAAAGCAAAGAGATGAGGATTTTTTTTAATTGCCATGCTAATACCTATGACAAGGCTTACACTGCCTTGACAGATCATTATAGTTTGAAAAGTGATATGTGTGGTACTTCTGACCAGGTAGAAAAGTGTACTTAATGTGCTTTGGGAGAAGGAAGCTTCTTTTTCCTCCTACAAACGCAACTCCCAAGTCCTCCATCATTCCTCCAGAAAATGACCATTTGGTGGTCTGAGTTATTAATTTGAGAATGGCAAGCTGATCCATTGTACCCATTTAAGTGATCTGACACCAGACATCATCGGCTCACACCACAGGTTGTTTGCTCTCAAAGTTATCTCTGTCTTCTTGAAAGTGGGGGTTCTGGAGAAGGGCTAATGGGTAGAAAGGGATCATAGAGAAATAAAGTGACATTTTGTGGATTGACTGGGGGAAGAGCCAATGGCTTAGCAGGTGCTGCTTGCTAATTTCCCAGAGCTTCCATGGCTTTTAAGGTAACAGCCTGAAAAGACCCTGCTGTGAAGTTTTACCATGAAGTGTCTGGGGTCCCAGCCTGGTAGGAGAGGCAATAGGGCAAGGGAAGAATGTAGATGAGAATTGTCATAATTTCAGGGCCCCACAGGGCACTGAGAGTTTTTCACCTGAGAACCTAAAAATGACATTGGTCCTCAGGAGGCATAAATTAGACACCCCCCCAAAAATCACAAAATATTGAGGAAATAAGTTTGGACAGACAATAGGGAATTAATTTTTATTAATACTACATCCTTGATTTCATTCAGAATTTATTGGCATGAATTATTCATTGTGATAAACAAGAGGCTTCCAGGGTTGAGGGAGATTTAAGTCCAAATGATTGAGGTACCTCTTAATCGGAAGTAATTATAGGACAATTGGGTACCCTTCGTGTTGAAAATGTTTTCCACTCTGCAAATTATAGCCTATTATCCTTCAGGACATTTCCCTTTTAATAGTCTTATGCCATTTTTCTTCTGTGTGAAAACAATTTAGATGGTCCAGGTAGAGGATGTAGTTACTTAATCCAGTAAATTTGTTTCGATTTTTTATGCAGTTGGAAGTATGAATAAAATGTACTATATTTTTATTGTTTTCTTGTCGATTATCAAAGGCAATAGGCAAAGAATAAAAACTGTATATCTTTTCAACTCCCCTATCCTTTTGGAACAGGACTTTTTTTTAGGCGGTGGAGTACATAAATGATTTAGAATCTACTCAGTGTGTTCAAAGAGTCCAGTAGATATTTTGTCTGTGTCAACAAGTCCATCAATAAAACTGATATTTCCTATAGAGATTTTTATTCACATTCAGTCTTGACAGAATAAGTGTAATCAGAACTACAGAGCAATACAAAGGAGACACCTGTGACAGAGGTTTAGTAGCCTAAAGTAAGATGAGACTCTTAGTATAAACTATGAATTCCTTTACCCTGTTTTTCTCATAACCACATACTTTATGCAAAATCTCATTGATTTCTTATTTAATTTGCATGCTACCACAGAAATGTATTAGCATATAGTAGAAAGATAGGTGAGCTAGTCAGCCATAACAAAATCGAGAGTAAGGGTGAGCAAGGTACTTAATTACTTAGAGTTCAACACATAGAGGGGTTGCAATTCAGAGTATTTAAAAATGTTACTTTTTATAAGTCGCATGTTTCTGAGGCCAGAAAATTCTGATCTCTGTGGCTCATTGTATTTTACCAGGAAGTCCGGAAGCTTGCAGTGGACAGCAACACAGTGGATGCACAAATTTTAAAACGTTGCCTAGCCAGTACACACATGCCTTTCCAGTTCTCATTATAGGTTTTGGTTTCTAACCCTACTTCTCCATTAGTTAGCTGGGTGACATTCCATTCCATTTTGGGTCTCATTCTTATTTATTCAGTGGAGAACTCACCTGCCCTGAAACAGAACGGAATGGATCCAGAGCTGATTTGTGATTGTTTTCTGGATCATGAGTGGTCAGGTATTTGAGAATTACCCTGTTCACCCCCATGTTCCATTTAGTCTAGACTGCTAACCCTAGTCTATATCTTTTCCACTTGAAGACAGGATGAGGGTCAAAGTGGTCTTTGGGATTAACATAGATTAGGCCACTTAGTATATATTTTTCAGTAACTGAACTAATACTAGGCTAGGGGTTGAAAAGCCTGGGTTTTAGTCTTGGCCCTGTCCATTAATTCTCTTTCAGCTTCAGTTTCCTTATCCACAAAATGAAATTATCATTATGTTGAATGAGATAACATATGACAATATATTGAAAATCTATAAAATCTTATACAAATATTTAATAAAATAATGACTAGCATTTATATAATACCTTTCTATTTACCACCTTCCCCACACAAAATACATATATTTTGCTAATTTGATCTTCATGATAAATGTACTGCTAAGTCCATACAAATTTTGCCTGGCATGTAAATCTTAGGAGTTTGGAGAAACCTCTTGAGAACTGATGATCTACCTACTGAGGACATAGAGACATAGAAATTCTTCAAAAATGTAATAAACTCTAAGGAATCTTTTTACTTCTCCAGGGATCTTTTGCAACAGTATGATATCTGTTCCTACAGGCTTAATTCAGAAACAAAATTCCCTAACAATTGCTTGTGAAAATAAAAATCTAAATAGAAATTTGACTTCAGAATCCTACACAATAGAATTACGAGGAAGGAAGGAACCATGAGAAGTCATTTTAACTATCTCTTTACATTTAAACAGGATACCCAAGTACTGTGGCAAGTAGAAAAGCCCTGTCCTTGAGGATTTCCCATCTAGTCAGAACAGATGAGATGTAAATATTCGAAATAACTATAGATCTCTTATTTGTCTTCCAAACTGCTTGGTGTTATCCCAAAATAATTAGCTCAATTTTCTGAATGATATGTGGGCGTCATAATGCGCTTATATGATGCATCTCTAAACTCACATTATAAAAAAATTAAGTACCATTGCCATTTTGATGGTTATTACAAGCAGAGATTATTTAATTTTTTGTTTGTTTTTGTCACCCCTGGACCTAGCACAGTCCCTAACGCAAGGGTAGGTGTTTATTCAATGCTTGTTGATTAATGAATTGATTCATAGATCAGAATACATTTTCCCATAGTCCAAAATTTTATCAATGACAGGATAAGCACATATATATATACAAGGAATACCTTCTGAAGGGGTGATTCAACTTTAAGTGGAGGTGGTACAAGTTCATACCACATAGTAAGGAAACTTCTTCTGGTTGTAATTTTTAGCATAGGCATCATTTTGTTCAGAGACACCTTTACCAAAGATTTCCAAGGGGCACTTGTAATCAAATCCAGTGCACAACAAACCAACAAGCATTTGTTATAGTAGGAGACAACTGTGTTCAAGGTGTTGTACTAGACTGTTAAGAGTATGAGAATAAAGAAAAAAAGCAATCTCTCTCAAAAATGAAACATAATGGAAAGAATTCTGGATTTGGAGTGAGAGGACCTAGGTCAGAATCATGGTTCTCCCATTTACTATATTTGTGATGTTGGCAAGTCACTAGACCTCTCTATGAAACCTGATTTCCTCTTTCATCGAATGAAGAGGTTGGACTAGATGTCCTCAAAGATCCTTTCCATTTCTAAAGCTTATAATATTCTACTGCAAAGATACAACATGTAAGCAGACATGTTGGCTTGAGGAGAACACTAGGGAAGCAGATCAGGAAAGGTTTCTCATAACAAATAGCACATGAGCCAAGAACTGAAGGAAGCTAGAGATTCTAAGATGTGGAGGTGAAGAGGGAGTGCCTTCCAGTATGGGAACAGCCTGTCCAGAGGCCCAGAGCAGGAGATGGAATGTTCAGCTCAGGGAACAGCATGTTGGGCAGTTTGGCTGGAATGTAGAGTGTGTGAATGAGAATAATGTGAAATCAACCTGACAAGGTAGAATATAGACAGACTGTTGTTGTTGTTCAGTCATTTCAGTCATGTTAGACTCTTCAAGACCCCATTTGGGGCTTTCTTTGTAAAGATACTAGAGTGGTTTGCCATTTCCTTCTCCAGCTCATTTTACAGTTGAGAAAACTGAGATAAACAAGGTTCAAATGACTTGCCCAGGGTCACGCAGCTAGACACAGTAAGTGTCTGAGGCTGGATTTGAGCTCAGGAAGATGAGTGTTTCTGACTCCAGGCCCAGCACTGTGCTGCCTTGAAACTTCACTGCATGATACCAATCAGTATGTTATCAATAATTTTCCTTCCATGAACACAGTTCATCAACTTCAAAGAACATGTTTATTTACATGTCAAACACAACAAATTAGCACCTGCCAATGAGAAGCCTTTCTTCAGAGAACTGTCAAGCTTCCTTCTTTTATTATAATGTGTTAAGTAAGACTCTATGTAGGCATTAGCTCTAATAGTTTTCCATCTTATGTACTCTTGAACCTCAAGGCAGATGTCCTCAGTTGGTGCCAATAATTCCTTTTGTCCCTTTCCCCAGCTTCCAGCGGGTAGTGTTTGTCTTCATTCCTATTGTTGGCCTCCTGGTTTTGCAAAGGACATTTTACAAGGTTCAATTCAATATACATTTATTAATCTCTCACTAGATGCAAGATATCATATTAGCATTTGGGGATGCAAAAAAAAATGAAGAAACAGTCCTTGTTCTAAAAGAGTTTACAGTCTACTGCTAAGACCCTACATATACACAGATAAGTAAATACAGAGTACATACAAAGCAAACACAAATAAATTTAA